AGCCTTCCAAGCAGGACGGAACATGTCGCACTATCGCCACCTCCTCCTGTGGAAACTGATACTGAGCATAGCTTGAGGCCTCACTGCGCTGGAGCCAAAAAATGCCAAACACGCAGAAGAATGGAAATGACGAGGTGAGAGGCAATCGATGCAGAAGCCAGGATGCTCACCGAGGCACCGTCAAGGCCAGTGATGCAGCAGCCGACGCCACTAAGCTCTCCTTCCATCTCACCCCCCGCTCGCCGCTATTTTCTTGTCCGCCTCAAGGTGAGCAAAATATTTGTTGCCTGAGGAGCTGCCCAAACCGAAAAAGCACCCAGAGCTCGGTCACGATAGTCATGGACGAAAATGGACGACGAGATTACCCTCATAGATCGGCCTGGTGTGCTATTCGACGCTTTTCGGAATTCCCACCGTGTCCGTTCGCGGCTCGAAGCCACATTGCTGGCTGTTTATTGCCCTGTACCTTACCACCATTTATTCGCAGAAACCCGGTGCAGATTATGGAGCCATAAACGCCTTGCTAATCCATGAGAGAAGCTTACATGGAAAAAAAGCTTGCAGGACGCTAACCGCCCTACTCTAACTTCTATAGAGTATCAATTTAACCAAATTAGAGAAGGAAAAATTAGCAAAAGAAAGGAGACAGATTCCAGTTTCTTGAGATTACTACTTGGCGTATCACATCAATCAGCAATTGGCACACAAAAGGACGGGTAGATCAAGAGAGGCCAGACTCCACATCGCGTTGTGCTTTCAGCAAAAATAAGCCGTTCAATCCATCGATTGGGATGTCGGGTTGTCCAGGCTTGGTTTTTACGCCGTAAAAACTGATCGTATTTACGTTTTTACGCGTAAAAACAGTTTTTACGTTTTTACGCGTAAAAATGCGTAAAAATACGTAAATACAACGTAAAAACTGCACGGTGTACATAAGGACAGTACATACAGATTTACGGAGTCGGAGAGTGGCAGCCAGATGCCCTGGAAGGGGCAGAAAACGAGTTTTTGTCAAACACCATCATCGCCGTTGCCAAGGGCGAGGTGGACACTGTGTTGCGGGTGCTGGATATGGCGGAGGACTGATGAGGGCGTCCAAGGGAGCCGCAAAAACGTAAAAACAGCCGTAAAAATAGGGTCTTTTGCAAATTTACGTTTTTGCGCGTAAAAACGTAAAAGTAAAAACGTAAACGTAAACGTAGAAACCAAGCCTGGGGTTGTCGGTCCAGTCTGTGCATGTTGTTGTGCAGTGCAACGGTGGCTTTTTTTCTGTGCCTGGCCATTCTTTGCACGGCGGACATGGCTGGCTTATGCCTCAATGACTGGTTGGCTATCCTGTGAATTATGTGACTGAGGGATTGAAGGTGGTGGTTGCGGTTTCGCTTGAGGTGATCGATTTTGCATTGATGCGCCCTGAGCAATACTGACCCTTTTAATGCACGCCCACTCGAAAACAGATGAAAAGAAGAACCGTTTGGATCTCAATGATTCTGTCGTTCCCATGGTGAAGAGCTATATCGAGTCACCACATCGCGACCTAGCATTGATGTGTGTGCAAATCAGGACACTGTCGAAGAATCTCAGGAGCTCAATGCAGATGCAAACTCACCAATCAGAATATGGCGGAAAACATATCAAGCCAAACTGCGACTGATCTTGGATATTCAGATGATCGGCATTCACTGATTATTCCCTCTTCTAGAGTAGTTCACCCACCGGTAGTGGTTGTTAACTGGGCGTAACTTGAAAACTATGCAAATCTTGGCAACACCAACTTGTGATGATGCACTGGGAGATGCGAACCTTGTCGTTCAAGTAACGCCCATTGTCCCGGCGAGCGGGTGGCAGCTCGAGAAATTTCTCACGGAACAACACAAAAACGTTGCTTCCGAAACAAACTTTTCCTATTTTGCTCCACGAGAAGCCAAGATGTTGCCGCGATCCCGCTCAACTGCAGCGCCGTCTTCCACCAGCACACAAAAGCGCGGAAGCCAGCGTAATCAAGGCGTTGCAAACGCGTCAATGTTGGACCCATTCAGAAGCACATGCAGCAAAAGATACGTCACGCGCCACTCGCCACGCCCTGTATGGTCACAAAGTCAACGTCATCATTTTTGCACAACAAGGTGATGACGTATCCGTCAGCTTCCTGTTTCGCCCGAGCACAGCAGCGTCCATGATCAGTTCATTGAAATCTAATGCATAACACAAATGCACTGACGAAGGCAGGTTGGGTCGAGGGGCGGCGACCCCTGACTGGGACCCGTGCGCTCGAGTACACGGCAGCGGTTCACAGCAGAGCAAAGGGACAACAGGAATTCTGCCGCTCACATCCAGTCCGTTCATCAATGTTCTATATGCATTGCCTAATGCCTCATACCTCTTCATGCGTCCAGCTGTTGATAATACTCGATCAGTTCTAGTTACAACTACAGTGGGGTGGCCTGTTTGAGGCCGCCCTGAATAAGGCCAAACTGTCAATAAGGCTGGTGAAAATCGGCCATATCTTGTGGCACGATCTAAGGTACTAGAAGGACGTGGCCACAAGCAGTTTGAGCGTGTGGGGGGCGCCGCCATGCCTTGCCTCGAAGGCAACAAGTGCAGACTGCCCTGCGACAACCCCAAACCGCCTCAATACACTATACACAAGTGCTCTGGGTGTGGTGGGTTCCTCCACAGGATGGGTGGAGAAGTCGATCACCATGGCGATTCAGAAATGGATTGTGCAGCCTTTGCTACAATGGCGAGTTTATTCTCTTCGCCGCGCCGTTTCCGCAGTCGCAAAGGCTTCTACAGCCATGCTGCAAGGTTGGCTCCCGCGTCCACGACAATTACATTGTCGGGATGTGAATGCTCAAGCTTGCTGGGCCGTTTCTGCCCCTAGACGGCAAGACTTTCCACCCGTGCGGGGTGTCCGCAGCCCAGGGGCCCTCGGGTGCCTCGTACACCGGGCACTTGGGCCTTTAGGGCAATGCTAACGTGGGCGCAGGGGCGTTTGCAACCCCGTAGCACCGGTCATCCAGTTCCGAAAACACCTCCTTCGACTGGACGATTGCCTATTGACAATCAATGCTACCAATTGAAGTGCTACGCTTCTTATTGGGCAACGCATAAAATATCAACAACATTTTGATATCAGAATACCCCTAAAAATAATCAGCATATGCACTATATGATGTTAAACGCGCCGTAAATGGCTTCTACTGCCTCAAATGGGCTGCGGACCTCAATAAGGCCAGTGGGCTGGTAAGGCTGGTGAAATGGGTTTGTCACGGGGCGGCCTTAAAGAGGCCACCCCACTGCACGCCACGAAGCCCCCTGCAATCCAATGTACAGCACGAATGCCCTGCCTGGTACGACACACCCTCGGCCCTTTGACCCACCAAATGCTTTGGTCAACGGCCCTCACGCTGCCGCCCAACTTCCCGCTCTGAAGCTCCTCACGCAACGTGAGGCGCAATCTCCGCGCGACCCCCCACCACACCGTCCGGGAACCCTCCGCTGTGGCGCCCCCCCACCCACCCCCACCCACCCCACTTGGTTCTTCGCTGCCAGAACTTCTCCGCGGCCGCGTCGGCGGGGACAGCGGGCTGGAGCGGCGCATGTGCGGTGATCCCGTCCGTTCGTCAGGTCCTGTCAGCGCGGGGTGTGCATCAACCAATTCTTGACGCGGGGCGGAAAATTGCCTGCTGCTGGAGAGGAGGGGTGGGAAAGGGTTGGTTTGGGGCCGTCTTTGGGCCGATGGGGATTTGGTGATCGTAGTTGAAGGGGTGGAGCGGGGGTGGCCAGTCATGTCAGCGCGGGGTGCGCTTCTGTCAATCCTGAACGCGGGGCGAAAATGGCCTTCTGCTAGAGAAGGGGGGGAGAAAGGATTGTTGCGGAGCCGTCTTTAAGCTGATGGGGATTTGCTGATGCAAGGATGCATGGCTGATGCGTGGGTGCGGGGCTGGCTGGCGCGGGGTCCTGGGTGTTGAAATCAGTTCGGTGCAGGAGGCCCAAGTTGTGGCGTTGTTTTGTGGCTTCTGCGGGTTTTGCCGGCACGTGCTGGGTGGGCGGGGAGCGCTTGGGCCGTGCTGCGACGGGGGCATCGCCAGCCGAAGGTGTGACTTGGGCGGGCGACAGGGCTCGAAAATTGGGGCGGGCGCTTCCGCTCAGCGCGCCCTGGCGTCGCGGCTGCGAGGACGCCGCGGGCGCCCGTTGGCCGCCCCGCATCGGATGCGCGCGCAAAGACGCAAGTCTAATGGGGAAGTGATGCGATGTTAGCTGCGGATGCGCACGGCCCGCTGTGCCGGATGCGGGGAGGATAAAAACGCGTGCCGCGTGATGGTGGGAGAGGTGAAGTTTGGGACTCTCCGCGGGGCGTTGGCCGCGCCACGAACGTGCGCGTGTGGGCTCACGGCATGCGTCCCATTTGGCCGTCTCGTCAGAGACTTGCACACCTCGAACCAAGACAGTCAGCTGCTCTCATGGTGGTGTTTGCGTGGCTGTTGGGTTGGTGGTGGAGACGAGTTGTTGGCGTGGGGTGGGATGGGCGGTTGAGGGTGGGGGATGGGGGGTTGGGCACTGCAAGTGTCCATCATCATTTTTCTCTGTTGATGCTGTTCCATCTTTCCCTCCACAAATGCTGTGGCATAAAACTGTTGCTTCTGTTGCTTCTCTTCTGCCAGTCTAAACCATATGCCATGAGCTTCGCCATTTGTATTGACTTTGATTGCATGATGCCTTACCATTAATGGCCATACCACTTGGCGGCCTTGGTCATGTTTGTGCAAATGCTGCCAGTCCAAACTTCACCATATATTGGACGTTGGCAAAGAGTACCGCACACAAGTACCTGCCATGTGCTGATTGATGGCAACTACATCATTTCCACTTTTCACTGCACAGCCATATCCCAGATTCTTTCAACTCTTTGATCCACAGCAATCTTGGCTGCTTTCTGCAGTGTGAATGCCTCCAGTCAGGCCCCTTGCCCAGCCTGCGGACACTGGCCGGCCAAGATGTTGGCACCAGGCTCCAGAAAATATGCCTACACGCGGCCCACATGTGGCCCTTTCCTGCGATATGGCAACTGCGACTTCACTGACCCCTTTTCTGCTCAGTGGACTGGCTCTGTGCTGTTCATCTGCGACACTTCCGTCTCGGCTACCCATCCTCCCGCTCTTGCATACATCGACAACAACACAGAGCGACGCTTGCCTGGACAAATAATCGAAACATTCATGAATTATGAATTCTGGCGATTTGACCTGATGCTGCGGCTGTCCAACCAACAGAGGGCCATCAAGTACTGGGTGGCGCTGGACCCAGCATGTGAGGTCACCCTTCCAAGGTGAGCATTTTAAGAGCCTAGCCAAATCACTAATTCACTGTACACTGTCCACATCACAGTTTCTAAACGTCAGGTCCAAAACTCGGAATTCCATGGGTTTGCCAACTGAAGTGGTTGTTTAATGCAGAGGATAATTGCTCAGCTGCACACTTGGATCTTCGTTGTTGGATCGTTTCATTTTTGTGATAGGAGAATTGCGAAAGAGGGTTGCATATAAGAATTGCCAATGAACAACAAAGCAGCCTCGAGTGCTTTTTGTAGGTGTCCGGTACCTGCTGTTTGAACTGTGCCTCCTCCTCTTGGACAACAGCTTCCAGTGTTCTTTGGGACACCTCTGTATGCTCACTGAGTTTTGCCCAGCCACATTGACCCATGGCCTCACTCCAAGCGCCCACACCCCTGTCCCACTGTCTGCCTGCAATGTAAGCTTGTGGGGTGTGGAATCACATCCAAGCCGCAAACAGCGAGCACACTTGGGAATCCTAATCGCGCATTTTTCGCATATGTTTTTTTGCCTTCAAAACGCAAGGGCACTGCCGCGCAATGCAATGGGAAATCTGTTGCCAGAATTCCGCCCCCACGTCAGCGCTCCAGCCGCTCTCCAGGTGGGAGTTCTTCATCCCTGGCAGCTGGGACACGTGGCGGTGGGGGGCTTACTCATGCTCAGGGTTCTCCCTCGGTGTGGATGAAGAGCTGTGGGGGGGAAAGGACCAGCCGCTGTGGGCAGACCTGCTGCAGCGCCACAAGGCCAATCCCATCCATGCCCTTGTGGGAGGCGGGGATCAGCTGTACAACGATGAAGTTTTCGAGATTCCCCTGGTGAGTGAGTGGCTGGGGATCAAGGGCAGGGGGGCAAGGCACCGTGCGCCATTCACTGAGGACATGCGGGCCCAAGTGGAGCTTTTCTATTTTGAGCACTACTGCACGCATTTCATGGCGACAGGGATGAGGGAGGCGCTGGCGGCCATACCCAATGTGATGATGTGGGATGACCATGGTGAGTGAATGGCTTCTTCTGGGTAAAGCATGAAAAAAGATTGCAAGAAGTGACTGTGCTGTGCACATGCCAGAGGGAGTGTAACCAGCACAGCGCACACTGCATACTGCATCACAAGATGCAAACGCCAAAGATTTCTGACAGCACCGATGCAAGATGCAGGATTTCCCAGCACACAGACAGCTTGGGCCCCCAATTGCACAACCACGCTTTCTATTGTCATGTTTGGCATGGATCATGTTATTGGAGCAGAGAAGTTTTGTACAACAGAAGATTGCCACTTTGTTGTGAACAGAGAGCTTTGACCATGCAGTAATTCCATGGTTAGTCTCAAGGCAGTTGGAAATTTTTTGGCAATGGCAGATCCCCGATGCGTCAACGCATCGTTACTACGGATTGCAGAGATTTCCAGGCTGCAAGAGACACAGACATTTTCGTGCCAACTCTCCTTTCTAGCAGTTGTCAATTGGACTAGGGCCTGAGCGGGTTTGGAAGCTCTAATTTTAGTGAGAGTGAAATGTACGGGGAAGGGGCCTTCTTGGCTCTGCGTCCCCATCCTTTTGTCATATCAACAACAGAATGTCCAAAATCTTGTATTGAGTAGCATGGACACTGGCAGAGTGTCCCCTTTATGACCAGCAATCAAAACCACAGTGATGTCTCCCCTTGCGTTGTTTGGAAATCATTCCACAGCAGATCTACCGATGTTTGCTGCAGGTGCAAAATATGACTTCAATGTTTTGCAGCATGGACTGGTTTCAGTGGCACTTTCTAGACACTTCCGAGATCGAGATTTTCAACCTTTCTCATTGAAAAATCACATGTTGCTGTTGGATTAATTCATTTTAAATGCCTCGTGCTTTCTTGGCAAAAGTGCGATTTTTGTTGACATTGGTATGTAGCGCAATGTACTCTGCCTGTACCAACCATAGATGGGCCAGGCAATAAACAAACAAATAAAGTGCAAACCCATTGTGCAGCATTCAACACCCAACCACACCCAGCGAAAGGCCAGTGCGTCGTTGCGCCTCGACGTATTCAGCCAAAAGCGGAAAGAAACTCAAGTCCGTCTGTTGGCTGCGACTGTAGACATTTTCGATGGCTGGGGGTCCTACCCAGACGACCTGCTGTGCTGCCCCGTCTTCGAGGGCCTCTACCAGGCAGCCTGCAAGTTCTACCTCCTCTTCCAGCAGCACACGTCCTCCCGCATGGTGGAGGCCGGGGAGGCCGACCTGTTCGCTGGGTGCGCCCGCAAGGCCTGCGGGCCCCACAGGGCCTACTGCTTCGTGAAGATGCTGGGGCCGGACGTGGCGCTCGTTGGTGCGGACACGAGGGCCGAGAGGTCCAAGAGGCAGGTGATGAGCCGGGAGACGTGGGATGCGGTGTGCAGACGCTTGAGGGAGGTACCGGCGTGCGTGCGCCACGTGGTGGTGCTCTTCACGGTGCCCATCATCTACCCAAAGGTACCCAAAGGCCGGCGGAAGTTGCACATTTTAGTGGTTGATGTTGTGTGGTGTGGTTGATGTTGGTGTTGTGCAAATCGGTTGGTTGTTGTGGACGATGTTGCATGAAAACTGAGTCACTCATATTGATGTTGTGCAATTTGGTTGGATGTTGTGTGGGTAATGTTGTGGTAGATTTTGTTGCTCCAGTTGATAACGTGCAATTTGGTTCTTCTTGGGAATGGGGCACGCTGCTGACACAGCTGTTAGCTGTATGAGGGCATAGATTGAAATTGTGGGCATTTTCTTGCATGTGAAAACCCTCTTCTTTCTCTATTGGACGTACCATGGATGGTGTCGGTCTGTGGTGCTGGCCAAAGTTTGAGAGACTATCCGAATGGACACCGGGTGATGTTTGATGCGTTGTTGCATGGAAAATGCAATGCACTTGCCAAGAATTGTGCTGCTCTACAAGAACAGTAGGGAGCATTGATTCGTCTAACCCCAATCCCCTCCCAATTGCTGTTGCTTGAAGTAGGCAGAGCGATGCTACTTCTCCTGCGAATGACTTGGCATTCGAGCGTTGATTGAAGCCCTTAGGGCTGATTGAAATGTGCAAATCACTTGGTTGGCATGCCCTTACTATTACAAATGAAACATCATATGAAACATATTTACTATTACAAATGAAACATATTGTTCGGAAAGGTTTTGACCGTGGAATTGCTGCTTCCATGGTTTTCGGTGTTTACTTCCAGGGTTTTCCTTCATACCATCTTCAGTGCTGCCACGAGGTTTTGTAAAGTACTGAGCCTTACCATTTCCCCCCCAAAACATGATGTTGCATACTTTTGAATTTCTCCTTTCATTTGTGCTAAGGTGCCTGTGTCTGAGGGGGCCCTGGAGTTCCTGGGGAGGATGAACCGATTCCAGGTGAGAGCATGGTCAAATCTCGTTGCATTTATACACAATTATATGCATGCATTAATTGCACCATCTGCAGTTTGGACACTCCACCACGTTCGCATCTCACAACATGATGGGCAATTGTGCGACATGGGATTCCTGTTTGATGCCGTTGGTTCCTACAAGACAATGCGCCACCGTTGAGACTTCAAGGCTATGGGAGGCACCTGCTGCATTGCCTGTATCCAGGTTGTTCATGCTTTCCTCACCCGGCGACCCTGCAAGAAGCGCTGAGTTCAGATTGCCGTACGCTGGGTGTATTCGTATTCCAGCACACATGAAATCAAGGAAATCGAGCTGCACACAGGAGCGAGTAATCGAACTGTAGTTTGATCAAGGTGGTTGTGACCTAGATCGCTTGATGTACCCTTGTTGAGGGTTCATTCGTTTTGTGGCAAGTGGACAGGCTTGACGCGATTTCACAACAAGTCATTCGCTTTGTCCATGGATTGATCGGCGGCAAAGTGGACCGGCTGCTTTTCGGCTCGATGGATTGGTTTGCGATTCCCACGCTGGTTGCCTAAAATGCCCCACGGCAGTGATCATCATCAACATGGAAAGCTGGTGCAAAAGTACTTCATGAAGTTGCATAAAATCACATAAATCACATAAAATTTACAACAAACTGTGCATTTGAGGCGAGGACGTAGCATTTCGTCAGAATCCCATTTGTTTTGTACATTTTACCTATTTTATCCACTAATTTCCATTTGTTGTTTCGCCCAGGCGGTGCACTACATCCTCAATAAGACTGGCATCTTCGAGCGCATCATGGCCTTCGACGAGCCCGAGCCCTTGGACGACCTGGTGGACCACTGGACGGCCACCGCCCACACCAAGGAGCGCGCGCGCTGCGTGGAGAGCCTCCAGCGCATCGCCATCGAGCGGGGCGTGCGCGTGACATTCCTCTCCGGCGACGTGCATTGCGCGGCCGTGGGCCGATTCTACTCCAACCCCAAGGTGCAGGACCTGTCCACGGACCCCAATTTCATGCCCCAGATCATTACCTCCGCCATCGTCAACAACCCCCCGCCGGCCATGCTGGTGCGCATGTTCCAGTTTTTCAGCCATTCGCGCGTGGGCACCATCAACAGCCGGACCCGGGAAAAAATGGTGCGAACATTCAAGGCGGAGCACCACGCCCAGAACAAGATTCTCGCCAGGCGCAACTGGCTGGAGGTGGAGGCCTATCCCGGGGAGGCCGGCGCGCTGGCCTTCCGCCTGAGGGTTGAGGAGAACCCCAAGCGCATGCGCGACCCGCCAAAAGTGTACACCGTATGCGTGCCCATGCTGTGTGGATACGGACCCAACTTGCGGCCCGATGACCGCAAGGGGTCATCATTCACCGGCGGTTCACCATCCAGCGTGTCGCGAGAGCCCCACGATAGGGTGCACACGCTGAGGAAACTCATGAGCAGATCATTCGGCGGCGGCCAGACGTCGAGCGGGACCCCTTTGTCGGATTTGATCGTTGAAGGGGTGGGCATCGCGAGGCGCCTGGCCCACCCGGAGCGGATCCCCATTCCGGAGCCGGCCGCCGAGGCTGGGCCCCCGGGGCCCAGCGGGCCGGCGCTGTCGCTGGTGAAGAAGAGCCCGAGACTGAGCAGGGACGGGGAAGGGTCCTGCGCCGGCGGTGACGTAAAAAGGGAAGAAAGTGGGCGGAAAGAGGCTGAAAACGAGCGGGAAAGGGAGGAGAATGAGCAAAGAGGGGCCTCAGGGGACGGAAGGGGGGCATGTGAGGAAGGGGAGGGGAGGGATGCGGCTGGAGACGGTTGGAGACGGACGTCCACGGACGATACGGAATACGGTGGGTTTTTGGAGCAGGGTGGGGAGGTGGGGGTGGCTGGGGTGGGTCTGGAGGACAGTGGGCGTCTAGGGGCGCGGAGGCGCAGCGATCAAGGGACTCCAAGGGTGGGGGACCAGGGGACCGGGCAGGACAGCCCGTGGATAAGTGGGGAGGAGCCGGGGGAGGGAACAGGGCGGCCGCCGACAGTCTAACCGAACTATTAGTTTAAACTTGAAGGATGTGCAAACCCTACAGGCTCCTGTACAACCTGAAGGATCCTTAAACCCTAAAACCTTAAAAGGATGTGCGAACCTTGAGGGATCCTTAAAACCCTGAAGGGTCCCTAGAGGGTGTGTACACCCTAGGGGTGTGGCTAGGGTGGCCAGGAGGGGTTTGAGGGGCGGCTGGACCCAAGGGTCCAGAATATATGAAGGCGTGAAATTTTGTCGAGACAGCTCGCGTTTGGCGACGGGGCGGGCCGTGCCATTTGCGGCAGCGTGCACCTTGCGGAATTGTTGTGATCTGTGTGCTTGGCAGGGGGGCTGGGAGTTTGGGAAGGGAAGGCTTGGCGCGGTATTCTTTGCTTGGATGGCGGCGGGCGGCTTCTCTGCTGCCAAACGCTCTGTGTGTGTGTGTGTGTGGAAAAGGAAAGGCAGCGGTGGGGGATAGCGGGGCTGCTTTTGGACTGGGGGTGTGGCCAATTCCTTCGAGGCTGTCTCGGCTTTGAGTCATTGTGGACAGAAACGGTTGTCGCTGGTCGGCGACTGCAGGGGCCAAGCTTCTATGCTTTTGCGTGTTCTTGCAGTCATGGCGCGCTCGCGTCTGATTCACGGTTGTGTGCACACACGCAAGATCTGGCTAAGGTTACTGGCCGCATGTTGCGCGACAGGGGCGCCGTGTACCTCGCCGGCCTCTCTCCGCCCACCCACGTGCTTCTAAACGAAAGCAGCGGATTGCGCCATTGACAGCTGTGTGCATAGCCGCGCAACACCTCTACCTGGATATCCACTTCGGGTTTGCCCAATGCCCCTCAGGACACAGTCGCCCGCTGCGCGGTCTCCCCGTCGCTGATTAGGAATCCTGCCTGACAGTGCGCAAGGAACCACGCACGATTTTTCGCAGTCATGAGCATCCTCATGCAGCCCGAATGAAGCGCTCATGGAGCACCTCTTTCAAGAAGCACGAAGACACAATTCACAGAGTAGCCAACAGAGCGCAAGGTAATCGTGTCCACGTTACCTCCGCCCCGACATTGAATTGAAATAATTGAATGCAATTCCGCAGTTGGCGCCCCCCACTCCAGACAGCACTACCACCTGGCCACGGAGGTCGATGCAAGATGCCGTGCCAGCGGACAGCCAAGGGAATGCCTCCCAAGATCCTCCGAGCCTGCAATCAATATTGACGCCAAACCGTCCATGCGTGCAAACTGCCATTCCAGAACATCAGAAACACGAGCCGGGCCCATTCGCCCAGTGCGCTGCTGTCAGTACTCCGAGCCCATGCATCCCCACTCCTCAGCCCTTGGCCCTGAATAGCTTGGTGGCTCAACAGGCGCCGAGCTGTACGCCAGAGCGAATGTTGCAGAATGTTCGCAGAATGTTTGCAGAACGTTCGCAGAATCTTTGCAGAATGTTCGCAGAACGTGTGTAGAATAAAATCTGCAATACCAATTGAGCACAAGGGGAAGAGAATCCTTCATCCTTGGCTTCACATCATCCATCCTCGGCTTGCTCAGAGACGGGCAGCAGCTTTGGAGTGTTCGTGACCCTGCCGCCGGCCACTCGAATGTGCTCCCCATGGCGCAGGACCACGAAGGCGTCGGGACTCAGTCCAGCCGCCGACTGAAGTAGACCACGCGCACACAGATTTCAGACAAACAGTGATGGAATCATACGCCAGGCTGAATCACAACAAACCGTTAAGTGTGGAGTGGCTGATGCACCAAAGCGTTGGAGAATGTCAAAGGAAAGAAGGAATCATGGCATAGAATGTGGGCGACAGGTGTGGTGAAAACCAACATGCAGATAAGAATGTGCTGTCGTAACCCTCAGCGGGGAGACATTCTGACTTCAGTTGTGCACAAGATCTGTTGTGGACAGATCATGTGAGGCTGACGGCGGTGCGACGTTCGCGCACAGCCGGGAGGAGGGCACCATTCGAATCCTTTGTGACTTGACTCTTCCAGTGCACATGGGAGCAGCTGGTCCATTTCCAGGGTGCGCCGAACAAGGTAAGTTGCCGCACATTTGTACATATCGAACGTACCGATCCGTTGATATCGCTACCCAGAAATTGCCACAAATCGTATCCATGCACCTTCCAATTGGAAGCGATGAGGAAGGTAGGGACGCCCATGACAAGGGAATACAGTTTGCCTGGCAGCGCTAGAGACACCAGCTGCAGGGTCGCCCCGCCATATACATCTGGCCAGGAACCGCTGTTGCAAGCTCCGAAACCGAAAAACAGCCTCAACAAAACCAAATTCAAACCCAAGCCAGCGTGCCTTGCAAATCAAACACATCGGGACTTTCATGCATGAGTCCCTGACAGCTCACCACAGCAGCCTCCAAGTCCCTTGGCGGCTGGTCCAGCGCTTCAGTGGTGAGGGCGAAGGTGCAGCAGTGGATGCCCATGCTAAAGCGCGCCCCAATGTCTTGGTGGATTTTCACGGCCTCCTCGGGGTCCACGTGCTGGGGCCTGCAGGGGCGGAAGACGGCGATCAGCCACAGAGATAACAGAAGCACCACTAAAACCCTGCTGATACTTGTTTTCGCAACGTCAGTGGCATGTGCGAGGATTCTTCTCTTGCTTTGCCAGCACATGTGTTAACGAGCACTGGGCAGTGCTTTCTGCACATTCGCTGCACGGTGCGATGCAGTTGTAACCTGCTGGCAGCACATTCGCCTGATTCTTTGCCACCGCAGCGTGGATAGGAAGCTTATGCACACATTCCCCATGAACATGGACTGCATGAGTCAAAATGTGTGCACGTATTCTTGCACTCCTAGAATGGGCTGAATTCTCATGCATTCACTCTTATCACATGCGGTGTTCTTGCACGTGCGTGAAGAACTTCTTCACGAATGTTCGAGATGAATGAGCAATGTTCTGTGATTGAATAGCGCAACGCATGGCGTTGCTGCATTGCCTTTACGTTGTCCCAGTGCCCACCTCATGAACTCTCGAGGCAGGTATGCCCCCACAGGTATCAGCGCCAGATCAATCGGCGCATGCTCCTGCCCAATCTGCTTGAAGGCAGGGCAATACGCCGTATCGCCCCCAAAGTACACCCGCCCCGCCGGCCCCGTCACCAGCCAGCTCCCCCACAGGGTGCTCCTGCAGTGCACCCCAACATGCGCACTTTAAAGCATGAAAGCATACATAACATGCATGCATTAAAGTACGTGTAATTTGCACTCTGTGCATGGCTCGTCAGCGTAATGCATCCACGGCGTTGAACTGAAGGCGCAAGGACATTGCTTCATCATTTGATGGATCTTGCCCGAATTTCATGGCAGGCAGAAAATATGCAGAACATCAAGACGATCTTATTGTTCCATTTGCAAACGCGCCACAACTGCCGGTGCGTCCAATCCCTCAGTCCCGGCAATCAATGCCAAATACTTCAAGTATATCATAGAAATACAAAGTTGCTTTCTACGTTGCACAGAAGAATGAAGAGATGCAGGAAAATGTACCTCCCACGCATATGCTGTTTTGCACTTTCCATCTTCTTAAAAGGCAGTCCTCCCATTTCGTGACAACGACATTGTTAGCAGGTCTGCACTTCTTAATTTGTTGATCAGGTAAACTTCTATTGTTTGCATTGGCCTTGCATCGACCATATTTTCCAGGAACCTGTGTCTCTCAACCAATTGACGACACAAGCCTGCTGTATCCTTCCTCGCAATGCTCTTCGTGTTCCCGCACATCGCTGACTTTGTGCTAAACCCAGCCCATGTTTTGCTGAAACTGCATTACCTTGTGTTCTGGCTCTGGGATTCAAGTCGCGCCAACTACCGAATCCATGAGCCTTTCAACAAGAGCAACACACTCCCAATATCACTCTTTCCACTACCTTTCCATCTCACCCCAGCGCCATTTTTCATCAGCCCAACTCGCAGCCGGAGCTGCCTTCCCGCCCTCGCGTGAAACAAGTCTCTATCGATTGGCAGCACCCCACAGCCGCACCTCAGCAGGGTGGTCGTTCGGACAAATTCACTGGATGAGGACAGAACACTTTTTTTTAATGTGTGGTTTGTTTGCACACACTCTCGTCGTCACCTGCAAGGTGCCATGGCCCCGCTTTGTCTATCAAGGGCAAATTCAAACATAGGAATTTCGGACACACAAGTTGCACATCCTGGATATACATATCCAGGAGATGATTATGTCCCGGAAATGCATAGCCGGGATATGGCGTCCATATCGTAGTCGACACCTAGGATATGAGCTCCCCCACTTCATACTCCAAATCCAAGATATGGGACTTTTATCGAGCTGAGCAGCTGCACCTCCTGTCCGTCAGACTCCGCGCGCTCCAGTGCTGTGTCGGCAGGAATCGCAAGCTCACGCCAGAGTCGCCGTGCGGAAGGCCCTCCCACCACGTCAATTCGGTCACGTTGGAGACGCCTCGGGAGCGGAACCAAGATGCAAGGCCCATGGGGACGTACCAGGCCAGGTCGTCGCCGAACTTTCGATGCAACCCTGCAACCTGACGACCGGAGGCTCAGGGTGCCGTTTGGGGCGACTAGTTGCAGGACTGTCCTGCCAGGACATCTGCCAAAGGAGGTGGTCCCAGGCATGAGTGCAAGCTGGACTTATAATAAGTCCAGAACGTGCACTGGGCAAAGTGGCACGCTGCTCGGCACTTTGTAGGGCTTGATTTTATCGCGTTTTCATAAAAGCTTGTCATGGAATTAAATTGTTGTAGTGCTTGCAGGGCAAGGAACAAGAAAATTGTTCCTGTGCCCACAATGCATTTGTCAATTGCATCTGGGAAGAAACATTTGCACATAGGTGGAGCACACAGCATCGCCCCAATATAATAAGATCGTTCTGAATCTAGCATACTTTATGCGTCCACACTTGTAGTCGCAAGTAGTTTGTTACCACATAGTGCAATTTCATACCACATCATGACATGTACGAATCAATGGCAGGTAGGATAGCTTGACATCCATGGCGAAAACCGAGTCCACTCAGATTCCATTTGTGGTGATAATATTCGGAACATGTAAGCAAACTATATGAGCTGCATCCATGAGACTTGTTGCCAAAAGTTCGTCAGAACTGGAGTCGGTCACATGTCAAGCCCGTGCTGCACTTTCTACTTACAACATTGCAAACAACATTTAAGACATTGTGTTTTAATATACTCAATAATACAATACCATACAATATGAGTACATTCAATTAGTTAAACGATTTTCATAAACATCACACTGAAGAGTACATATGCCGGTCCCTGTCTTAACACAGCGGGTGTGGGCCATGTGCCAAGTCATAAGAATGCGCAATTGGAATCAGCATTGCAGGGCCTACGGTGGTGCCCTCACCGAATTTCGGTCAAGGTGGTCGTAGTGGTTGTGGCTGATGACGACGAAGTCCAGTTTGGGAAACTGTGGGTCGTCGAGGTCCACAGCCGGGGGCACCACCCTCTGCGAGCCACAGAGATGCATTGCCGTAAAGCTGCCATCCACAAAAACATTCAAATGCCAACAACGCCCACTTCTGGTCAAAAGCAATGGTCGTGCAAAACAAGCATTTTAGACCTAACATGCACCACAGCAACTTTGAAATAGGGAAAGGACAAATGAAATAACCTACAACTGAGGTGCGTAATGGAACGAACAATTTTGGAGACAGCAAACAAAGCAGTAGCTTCAAATGCAAAAGCTTAAAAGACAATGTGTAAAGAAATGTGTGCACCTTTGGCCCCATCCACTGAGTTGGAGAACATCGATCTGAAAACACGGGGTCGGTGATGAATCGCACATCCCCAATTTGCACAAGGGCAGTGGCGTGGCCCACCCAGAGGGCTTGCACAGCGTCCTTTGGGCAGGCTGTCACCGTTGACCAGTCGACGGGGGTCAGCGGAAAAGTTTGCCTGAAACATAGCACAGGCGATGGGTCATTCAGGAAGGACGGTACGGATGGGTGGGGTGGGGTTGGGCTGGGACCGGCGCAACAATCAAGGTGAATTTACAGCATTTGCATGCTGTGCTCTCAGTTGCCAGGATGTTGCTTGATGGCAATTTGCGTTTTTGATGGTCTGGACTTAGCCAATCAGCTCTTCTCTGCCAGTTTATAGACGAGTCAAAAATGCGACAGGGTGCTCTTGTGCTGCTAGCTCAGCCAGCGATACAAGGTATATTGCTTCCCGCACAATTCAGATTAGTGCAGTCTAAAACCACGTTGCACAAGCAGGCTGTCGAAGCGATCGATTCTGAAAGGGATCGGGAAGAAAGCACCGTGTAATCGTCTTGTACTGTATTACATTTGTCCACTGCCATAAAGCAGGGTGATTTCAGAGCTTATGAACTGAGAAACATGGCCATCTTGCCAGGCTATGATGACCACACCACTTTTCACTGTCATTGTAGGTGGTGACCACAAGACACATGAACACACCAGCATGAGCAAGAGCACTGATTGAATTCTGCTGCCGTGCCGCTGCCCTGGATTCTGGTGAACAGGAAATTTTCTGACAATACAACCCTGTATACAACAGAGAAGGCATTATAACCAATAAACAAGGATATGTGCGAAGCACCATACCAGGTCAAGGCCTACAACTGACATTGTTGACAGTTCCCCTCTCAGTGCAAAGAGAACTGGTGCACCATGAAGGTGATGATGTGCATGGCTCAACCAAAACTTTGGCCTGCTGCCCATTCAAGATCAAGTTCAAGACGTCCAGGCAGCATAATACCCTCTGCTTCCAACAGGGTGGTTCCCATCCAGGTTGAGGCCTTTGCTGTGCAATGCGCTTGCATGGACTGACTTGTTTGGAGGTTGGCGAGTACATGGACCAAACAGAAGCACCGAACAGCGAGTGGACACCATTCCACACGGCGCACTGCACTGCATCGCCGTGTGGCTGATCGTGTGTCTGCTTCTGTCGATAAACCCCAGCAACAGGATGTGCACCAAATTCAGAAACACTCCCCACCTGAAATCCGCCGCCGTGGGTTTTTTCTCCTCGAGCAGCCAACCGCCGCTCCCTCCCTCCTTGACAAACTCCCTCAGAGTTGCCGCGATGATCGCCGCGTCCCTGATCCCCCACTCTCGCCATGTACTCCACGGGTTGTTGAACCGTGTGCCCAGGGGCCCCTTCTCGACCACCGGCCGAGATAAACCGTCTTTTTCGGCGTCCATGGGTGGCAGCACGGACGTCACGGCATCCGGGGACCCAGGCCAGGTGCAGAGCCGCCCTGGGCAAAGCCTCTCTTTTCAGCAGGAGGAAAACCAAGTCACGAAATCGACAGGCACCACCTGGCTCGCAAAAACTGTTTGAGGCATTTCTGCCTGTGAGTGGAATTGATGAGTGCGTCTGAGAGCGCAACGGGAGAGCAGGCTGGCGTGTGTCTTTCTGAGATTGGGGCGCACTTTGAGGCTGATCCAAAAGCGCCAACGCCGACGACGAGGCCAGGGTTCCTGAATCCCAATCTGTTTTTAATCCAGCCGACAGAAGCCCCACACCGCATGTTGCAGCCACGGCGAGCGGAGCATCCAGATCGGCAGAGCGCAAACGCGCCCCCGCCGCTCCTTATTCCCATCACGCCCTCTACCTCAGGCGCGCAACGCCGGCCGCTTTCATTTTGAAGGGAGTTGAACTTCCAGTCGTGAACGCGTCGGGGCTGTGCAGGAACAAGACGAGCCACAGCAAACCGTTCGGCAGCAGTACTGGGCGGGACGCCAATTGCGCTCCATCAACGCAAGCGCCAAAGTGCGCCGCACACACCGCCGTCGCCAGCCACTGGATCTGGCAGCCGCAGCCCAAAGTCAAAACGAATCGCCGCCAGCCTGGCGCAGTCCCCTGACCCCAAGTCACCCCCTGCGCGTGGTCCCTAGACCGCCCACGAAACTCCGACTCACTCGCCCTCCCTCCGAGCGCGGTCGACGCCAGCCGCCTGGCGCCGCGAAGCATCCCCCGCCGGCACCGGCCGCAATGGGCCCCAGGTTCCGCCCATCTCTCCACGCTCCACCTAACCGAGGGGGCCCCTTGCGTGACCGCGGGTAACGGCCCGTAAAGCCAGCGCTAATCGGCCGTTGGCCGGTGTGTGGCGGTGGGGCTACTGGGGCATGTGCGGACCAAGCGGACCGTGTCAATATGTGTGGTGCGAGAGCCGTGGGAAACGTTATTTAGTCGCTGCCTTCCAACGTCAGCATGGAGGCCCCGGACCGGGGCCGGGCCGCGCCGGGCAGGCCCCGCTCGCCCCTGGCTAGGGGCGAGCCGCGCCCCCCGTGCCCCCCCCCTCTGCGAATGGCTAAGTCGTGGGAGAAAACACTGGCGTCTACCCTCCGCAGTTTCGCTTGGCACAGGGGCCGAACGCCAAGGGTGGAGTGTAGCCTCCGCGGGGACCAAAGCGTGGCCACCAAACATGCCACGAAACGGCAGGAGTGGGAGGCCGAAAGTTGCATCCCACTCCCGCCATTCTTACCCCTCGTGGCCACCGATTGGTGCCACCCGCAGGTGCCCCGATTGGCACCCGCGAGTGGCGCCATTCGGCACCCACAGGGGCCGAACGCCAAGGGTGGACTGTGGCCTCCGTGGGGCCCAAAGCGTGGCCACAAAACATGCCAGAAAACGGCGGGAGTGGGAGGCCGAAAGTTGCCTCCCACTCCCACCATTCTTGATCCTCGTGGCCACCGACTGGTGCCACCCGCGGGGGCCCCGATTGGCACCCGCGAGTGGCACCACTCGGCGCCCACAGGGGGCGAACGCCAAGGGCAAAATTCCGAACAGATTCACAACAGCTCGCGAAATTCCGTGAACAGAATGGTCGTCCGCGACCCCCCGGACGGTAGCGTCTGGACGGATTGCAGCCCCATAAAGTGGCTCATGGTCCGTCCGTCCGTCCTTCCGCGAGTTCCGGAAAGGGCTGCGGCGGTGCCGCATGTTGCGCTCCAGTGCTCGCGCTCCTTGCCGGGGCCCTATGCTTGAACTCGTGAATGGTGCGCCTGGAGGCTAAGCCCCACAGGCAGCGACTGCAATACCAGTGGCGCCCGCCGGGCCAGCCGCAACCACGGCCATGGGTGTCCAGGTGCGGAACTGGGGAACTGCGGAACTGCGGAACTGCGGAGGGGAGGCGCCAGCGCCACTTCCCACGACTTGGCCGTTTTGGCAGGCGGGGCGCACGGGGGGCGCGGCTCGCCCCTAGCTAGGGGCGAGCGGGGCCGGCCGGGGCGGGGAGGCCCCAGTCCGGGACCTCCATGCTGACGTTGGAAGGCAGCGACTAAATAACGTTTCCCGAGAGCCGTGTGCAGGAGGATCGTACGGTGCGTATAGGGGAATCGTATAGGCGGGATAAAAGGAGGGGCGGGGCCGACAGTGATGTTCACAGTATCCGGCTGGCTCCCTCTCAAGCAGACTGCATGGACTTCAACTACAGCAGTTCCACCCTGGAGGCAAAGGTCTGTTGCGCACAAGAGGAAAACAACTGGGCAAACAAAGCTTTCGCTCGTAAGCCTGTGCGTGTGAGATTCTTTTCGACACATTTCTGGGAACTAATCAGGGACACTCCATTGCTCGGGCAAAATAGGAACGTGACGGTTATCTACCTGCCGTCTTACATAGAATTTCATGATGATGAGACTCCTTTCCATGCCGCAAAAAGATGATGTGGAGTCTCTCAGTGTGAGACGATGAGCACACAACACCAGCAACGTGAAAGGCAAGAAGTTCCTCTCTCGGGGTAATCACCAAGGAGTCTTATTTGATGAAGCATGGCCTGGGTGGGTCGCTGAGAAAAATCACTGGGCAAAAATGCCGATTTGAAAACTGTGTCCTATGTGAGTAACGATGAAACCAAATTGTGCTCTCCTGCCAGTGTTTTCGTGCCATTTTGTTGAGTGAATACCGCCCAATGGGATGTTGCTGGGATGTGAAGCAATGGTTTGAGACTTATCGAACATCGAAGCCAGAAAATATGGCATGTTCTTGCGTTGTGCTTGTACAAACATATGACAATCCAAGGGAGACATTCTCCATCCATCAACTGCAGAATTAACTAAAGATTGGTATTGACCCAAAGAGGGTGGGGCTGCCCTTGTTCCACTCTTTTATAATGAACCATATCTGAGTTCGCCCTTTCATACGCGCGTTACGCTCCCGCGCCACACAAGTAGAAAGCACCATATTTCATACGCCAAAAGCGGTACAAATTTGACACCAAGTTGCGCCATCACAACAGCTGGTTTGGCTTAACATGGCGCCGATGTCATGAAGTGGTGCCGAATGACATCGCACTTGGCATATCCGAAATTTTGTACTCTCTTAGCGCCGCCAGAGCATGTCCAGCGCACCCCCGAGCGCACTTGCGCGGACGCCGGTACCCGTTGAGCCACTGAGCAGGGTTGCCGTACACGAGAACGCGGGATTCTTAATAAACGCATATCCATGAATTCCCAGTGTGCATAAATATTAAACGCTGTTTTTGCGTGTCGTCAAATGTCCGTATGCCCACATGTTGACATCTAGATTCACGAACGCAAAAAATTACAAATTCGATCACGAAGTTAAGCAACAGATCTGCCCCTGACTGGCACAAGTCAGGCAGACCGGTCCAGGGGTCTTGGGGACCAAATCGACCCCCTTCGCGCATTTTTATTCAAGTTCCGGCCCGGCGCCACGCAAATGTTTGTTTAAACAACCCCGCGTATAGACTCACTGACCGCAAGACGTCTCGAAAGCCCTATGCCTGCATCCCTGTGCCATCCGAGGCCAAATTAAGGCCGCGTACTTGTTTGTACCCGCTTGACTTGCACGCCGGCATGAAGGTCGTCGCGCGAAACATTCCGTGAAGTTTCGCTGAAATTTTGTTCTGAGCTGCGGCGCTGAGGCTGTCGAGGACTGCGGGGCAGATTTGGGGGCAGCGCTGCTGGAGCAGGAGTGCCGCAGTCCGGTCCCGGGCGCTCGCGATACGTTGCGGAACGCTGGTGTCGTAGCGGCACTGTCGGACTCCAAGGGGCGGCAGGTGCGACGGCGCCGGAATCGCTGGAGGGCTTTCGTTGGAGAATTTCGACCGGCTTCCGGAAGTTTCAGTCTGAATCTCCTGTCCTGTGGGCTGTGAGCAGGAAGGAGGAGTGAAGGTTTGGACCATGGGGGCCTGGCAGTCATTGTGTCACTAGCGTTTGGACTTCAGGGAAGGTGGGTGCGATTTTGCTGCATTGCCTAGAGCGTTGCATTACAGCAGCAGATTGAAAATCTCTGCATAGTTAAGAGATTCTTCAACATTCCCGAGTAGCTCAGGAATGTTGACCAGGGAGCATGTGCAGAAACGTGTGGCCCTGTATCTGTGGTGCGTGGATGGATTTGGGAAAAGAGGGAGCTTAATATCTTTGAGTGGTGTGCTAGATCGACTTTTTTCGGTTCTGATTCTAATGCCCCTGATTTGCCCCTGAGGCTTGATTATTTGAAACTGCGATGCACAATTTGCGTCGAGCCTTCATCTTGGTATACCGGTGGGAGCCATTGTACCATAGCACAGTACACCTCAAATTTCTTCAGTTCTCGAGCGTCCAAGACGGACCCTGAACTTCTTTTAACTTGAATTTTTCGCTGCAGCTTTGGTTTGTGCCTTTGTTGGTGGCAGCTCCGGCGATTTGAGCGACGCAAGCAAGGAGGAATTTCATTTGCTTCCATCTAGTCGGGCCTGCGCCATAATTGCCATTGTCAAGAAGCCCATGACCCACGCCCCGTCCAGGAGGCGGGGAAGCAGGAAGCGTCCAGCGCCGAGTAGCCTGGCTCAGAAAAATGACGCAAATCGTGATGCCAAGTTGTCGCAAGGGACAGCGCACTCCGATACGGACAGCTTCAGCGAATTGAAAGGGAAAGTGGTGTGGGCGCCTGCCGGCCATTTTGGAATTGAGGTGCCAGGAATGTTTTACAGGTAACGGGATTTGTGCAGTTTATCCAGCTCTTTGAGTTCAGCGAAATGCATGTTGTCTGTTTTGGACCTGATACTACAAATCTGCGCAGCCGTATTGCGGGCGAAACAGGCATAAGTACATCGATTTCTTGTATCGAGGTTTTGTACGTACACGCGTTACCAACCATCTCTGGTTAAAAATGTAAAACTTCGGAAGCAAAACCCTATCGATTTTGGATATGATAACATGTACTAAGATGACTTCCACCGGTCGGAACTCTGTATTATACTTATGCACATATTATATGAAATTTTTATGTACAGGCTCACATACTTTATTGGACATATTTGCGTAGTACAGGAAATTGTAATATACGGGTTCGGGTTTGTTATTCACGTTTACGTTTGCTGTTCTATTTTTGCGTTATTAAGCGCAAAAACGCAAACTGCGAAATGGGCTACATAGCATATATACAAGAATATATTTTTGCGGCCGTTTTTACGTTTTTGCGGCTGGCTGGGACACCCAGATTTACACGACAAAAGTCGCCTACAATGACTACTCGTCCGCCACCTCCTGCACCCGCAACACAGTGTCCGCCTTCCCCTCGGCAAAGGCAACGGCGTCGTCAAACAAAAGGACGTCCTCTACCCATTCCAGCGCGTCTGGCTGCCACTCCCCAACTCCTTACTGCGCTTGAGCTTCAGCGTTAGTCACATCATCACCAGCATTCTCCCTTCCCTGGGAAGCAGCTTCCCACGCAGCTTGCTTTGGATCTGCGCGCAGCTGTTCCATGCCCACTGGCAGATGCCGAACGCGATGGGCTGCGGCAAGGTTTTGCAGCCACAGGCGCTAGTGGGAAGGTTTACTGCATGGAGGATGTAGAAGTCGGCTCCACTCAGTCCTCGCCGCCTTTCGCGACTTGCTGGAAGTATGAACGAGTGGCTTGCAGCGAGTGCCTTTCACATCCCTTTCACATCCCTAATGTGCTTGGCGGGCGGCCCATGCAATCCCTTACGCCCCATAGCGAGTTCAGGGAAGAGCCGGTCACTGGTT